CTATGCCCGGTTCCTTCGGTTTAGTTTTAGTCTCCGTGACAGGGGCCAGCCGGCTCCGCCTGACACCGTCTACCCGTTACCCATCCCGGACCTCTCTGTCTTTCGGGATGGTGACCCGCAACGACCTGCTGTCGGTGACGCATCGAGCGTTAGCAAGAAGGAAAGGCTTATCGCCAAAGTGCTGCACGTTGTTGTCATGAGCCTAAACTTCCTGCATTCTGATCTGCGTCTTGTGCCCGAGAGCAGCTTGCGGAGGCAGCCAAACCGGGTCCATCTCAAGATTTTCGAGAGGATCCGAGGTCTGCTGTGGACGTGCTCTGCAAGGGGGTCCCACCCTCTCTCTTCTGGTCGACGAGGACCACATTTGATTGCGAGGCTTCGTGAGTTGAACGACCACTTGTCTTTGGTCGGCCTCTCTACCTTGCATTACCCTAGAGACCGCCCAGCGCGGAGCGTCGTGCCGCACTGCGCCGAGGGCCCTGAGGCGCTTCGGCCCTACAGGGATGTTGAGCCTAGCAGGCTGAAGATCTCGGGGAGCGGGCGCTGGGCTCTCGATGAATTCCTGGGGCCTGATCTCAAGCTCGCCTACCGAGAACCCCGAGAGTGCTCCGGAGCATACCTGAAAACTCCTTGGCCCATCCTGATGCCACCCTCGAGGACCCACTTAGGACCACTGAGCTGCTAAAGCTTTGGGACCTAAAGGGTCTCCTTTTCCTCACTTTCGAGCCCAAGAGGCCAAGAGATTTGACGAGGGTGTTTGCCGCCTACAAGAACGAGTCGGCTGACAGACAGATTGGAGATAGACGTGGGGGCAACGGGCTGGAGGGCAGAGTCTGTGGCCCTTCGAGGACCCTTCCACCTGGTCATTGTCTCATAAGTTTGACGATTCCGAAAGGCTGCAGCGCAGCCGGAGCCAGTACCGATCGGGCCGATTTCTATCATCAGGCCCGAATCTCTTCGGCAAGGGCTGAGGCAAACCGTGTCTGACAGTTGCGGATCTGGAAGGGACCTCCACCCTCTCTGATCTCCAGCGCATCGTCCGCGAGCACTGTGAAGGTGGCAATCCTAGCAGGGACTTGAGTGCCGTCCTTCAGGAGGCACGCTTCTGCTCTCCTTCGGTGCCCCCTTCCTTGCTGTTCGATCCGAGCACACCCGTTCATGGAGCCTTTCGCTCCCTGTATCAGGGCGACCATTTGGGCGTCGCCACGGAGTCTCATGCGCAGCTCCTTCAAGATGCCGACTTGCTACAGCCTCACCACCGCCTCCTTGCCCGAAGTGCCCCGAGCAGGAGTGGCCCATGGGAAGCCTTAGTGATAGACGATTACTTCGTAATCTCTTGTGAGAGTAGCTCGACGCAGCCGGCCCAGGCCGAAGCCACAAAACGCGTGCTCCACGCTAAAGAGATCTACGAGACAGCCAAAGTCAGTGGGTCGCTCCATAAGGACGTGCTGGGGGCTTCGGTTTTCCAAGCGGCTGGAGCTCAGATTGATTCTTCGCCGCTTTGCAGATCGTTTGGGCATGTGTTGGTTTCAGCACCGACGAGCAAACTCATGGCACTGTCGGTGATCAGTCTGAAAGCTGCAGCCCTCCCTGCCATTAGCGAAGAACTTGCTTCAAACCTGGCCGGCTCCTGGATAGCTGCCCTGATGTTCCGCAGGTGCCTCTTTGCAGTCCTTGACGGTTTCTTCGCCCTAACAAAATCAGAGGCCTACGCCGGGGATGGCAGCTTCCTCCGGGCCCTCTCTAGGAAGGACGCTCAGGAGCTCGTCCTCCTTGCGTCTCTCGTGCCGGTGATGTCTTCTGATCTATCGGCCGAGTTTTCTCCAACCATCTTTTGCTCTGATTCTTCATCAACGCATGGAGCTTACTGCTCTTGTCCGATTTCCGCTGAACTGTCGGCCTCCCTCTGGCTTGCCGCCGACAAGAAAGGAGCCTACTCCCGGCTCGATCCAAACAAGGGTGCCCGCGACACTCTCGATGACGATGACGTTGGACCCATCCCCGCCGAGGAGCCGTTGTCAAAGCCACTTGCCTTTGACTTCGATGTGCTGGCTCTGCTTGAGGGCTCGACGGAGATTGCTGAAGGATGCCAGCGGTTAGGGTTAAGGGTCTCCCCTGTCATTGACTTGCGGTACTCCCAAGAATATGATGTCTGCTCCCTCACGGTGACAGAGTGGGCAGTGCACCTCCTTTGGACCGGCAAGGCGCGGAGCTTTGTTGTGTCTCTGCCGTCCGGCTCGCTTGCCAAACGCCTGCCTCCTAAACAAAGAAGGAAGGAAAACCTCGTGCTGCTGGCTGAAAGGGCTGTAGCTAGGGCGGGCCGGCCCGCTTTCATCTTCGCTGCTCCGAGGTCCGGATTTTTCTCCATGCCGGCTGTGCGACGCCTTCTCTGTGCTGAGGGCGCCCCCCTCTTCTGATCCGGAGGGCGGAGCGAAGCCCGGCTACCAGGGAAAGCCGGGTCTGTGTTTCCTGCCAGAAAGCTTGGAGGTTGCCTGTTCCAAGTCCCCTCGCTGCCTCCCGGAGTTTATTCGAGCCTGCCTAGCGGCCGTGTCTCAGGAGTCCCCGCCTGACCCGGGTTTGGAAAGCGTTGCCATAAATGATGTGCTAGCAACCGGTGCCTGGGTCGTGCGCTCCGCCTGGCGATGGGACCGCCCTCGCCACATCAACTGTTTGGAGACTGAGGCCGGCATTACTGTGCTCCGCGACCAGGTCCGAGAAGGGGGAGATTCTTCCAGATCGGTGATGATACTGGATTCCAGCTGCGCTCGCGGCGCGCTTGCCAGAGGCCGTTCGTCAACCAGACTGCTACGGCCCAGCTTGAGGAAGGCCGCTGCCCTGGAGGTGGGCGGAGGCCTCTTTCCCGTTTTTACATTTGGGCCAACCCGATTAAATGTTTCCGACGATCCTTCGAGGAAGGCAGCTCTGAGGAGCCCCTGGCCCTCCTCCCTTGCTACAGGCCAGGATGAAGCCGAGCTGGTTGCGCTCTGTAAGTTGCAGGGCTGCTCGAAACCGAGGGCAAACTGGTACCGACTGTCCTCTCCTTCGCATGCTGCCGAAGAGTTTGCGGCAAAGGCACTGCTGCAAAAGATTTTCGTGCCGCAAATCTTAGGAGAACTTCTGCAGCTTCTCCCCTCTGCTGGGAAGTTTCGTTTCGGGAGGTCTGGCGAGACCAAGACTTGGACTACAGGCCTTTACTCTCAGGTCCTTTCAAGGGGCTGCGCAAGGCTGCCGAAAATTTCCCCCTTGCAACAAAGCTCGCTTGCCAGCCTGAACCGAGAAGGCCGCAACTCGACTTCGACTCAACCTTGGGCTACCCGGGCGAAGGCCCTGCCAATACCCTGTGGCTTCCATGGATTTTCCCTGTCTTCTTTGGACTTACTTCTTCTGCACCGCTCCTTCCGCGGAATGCTGCCGACCGTGCCCGTGCTGAGCGTAGGAGTCCTCTGGGTTTGCCGGTTGGTAGGGCTGTGCTTCCTAGGACAGGGTCTCACCGGGCTGCTTTGCTAGTTGCCTTTTCGCAATGGATCGAAGAGGTCATGGGAACTTCGCTGCAAGCCCTTCTTGACAGGAAGCCTTTCGACTGCGAGGCCATCGCCGACATGCTGGTCAGGTATGGACGGGACTTGTACGGGTCAGGGAGACCTTTTAGGCATTTCTCTGAGACAATAAATGCAGTTACTTCAGTGAAGCCAATTCTACGAAGGCAGGTTCAGGCTGCCTGGGATCTCAGCCTGGCTTGGGTCGCGGAAGAGCCGTACAGTCACCACACCGCCATCCCTGCTGCGGTGCTGATTTCGGTCATTACGGCTTGCCTCCTTTGGGGATGGACTTACGAGGCGGGCTGTTTCGCTGTAGCATTCGGCGCTGCGATGAGGATCGGCGAAGTATTAAAGACGAGGAGGCGGAACCTGGTTTTACCTGGAGATGTTGCTTTCTCCCAGAACTTTGTCTTGATTCAAATCGAGGAGCCGAAAACGAGAGGAAAGGGACCAAAGCATCAGGCAGCGAAGGTCGAGGCTGCAGACCTGATCCGGGTCATTGTCCTCACCTTCGGGAGACTCAGTACAGAAGATAAGCTCTGGCCCATGTCGGCACAGACGCTTCGGAAAAGACTTGATCAGGTGCTGCTACGAGTTGGTGCCTCCCCTCCGCCGCCCAAAGTCAGAGCCCTTGATCTGGGCTCGTTCCGGGCAGGAGGGGCAACTTATATGTTGCAGCAGACAGAGGACTCAGAACTGGTCCGGCGGAGGGGCAGATGGGCCTCTGCACGGGTCATGGAGATATACCTGCAAGAGATCGCGGCCTCGACGTACCTCCCTGGTTTGCCAGCGAGGCAAAAGGAGAGGGTCTTCGGGGTCGCTGCCGGTTTTGTCTCGGTCCTCGAACAAGCGGAAAAGTGGGCTCGAGCCCAAGTTCCCTCAGAAGCTTGGTTTCGCCTGTGGCCAGGAGAGTTATCTGCACGAGAGAGGTAGTTATGGGGGACGTGGGTACAGTCATGTTTTCCACCTGCCGATGCGCATTCCGGCAGCGAACCTCTCGTGTTCAGATTCCGACGGGAGCTAAAAAGTGGAGCGCGAGTCACTGACAACAGTGATGAGTTGTGGAACTGGCTCTCTGTCGCGGTGGTTCAAGTACCCACCCGCCCTCCCTGGGTACCCACCTGCCGATGCGCATTCCGGCAGCGAACCTCTCGTGTGCAGATTCCGACGGGAGCTAAAAAGTGGAGCGCGAGTCACTGATTAAGGATTCCCTCTCTCAATGAGCTGATAGGCATCCCTATCCTAAACAAGACGAGCCTAATCGTGCGGGGTCCGAGACCCTGCGTCCGGAACCACGAACCTTCGAGCGCGAATGCACAAAGCGAAGCACTTCATTGCTCATGCAGATCAGAGCCCTTATTCAATGCAGCCCTAAACCCTGAACCCTAAACCCCTCGCCCCCCCCAAAAAAAAACTTAAACCCTAAACCGTAAACCCTAAAAGCCCTGAGCCCTAAACCAGGCTTGGCATGGGACGTGTTCATCTTCTTCGAGGTCAGAGATCCCAGGGCCGCTCTCCAGGCCCTGCCAGCATCGGTGGTGGTCCCTTGCTTGCCTGCTGTTTGGTCACATCTCTGGGTGCTTACAGTGTGTGTGTGTACATGTATATCTATATCTATATATATATATATACATATGTTCTATTATATATATACACCATATTTATATGTGTATATATATATAACTATGTATATATATATATGATATGTATATATATATATATATATGTATATATATGTGTATATATATATGTATAACACATTTACAGTACGAGATGCACACGCACCTGTACATATGGCTGCATGGCAGCATTCCTGCCTCGTAACAGGCTGTAAAGTGACTGTTAGATTGCATATCCGTTACACGCTAGTCTTTGGAACAGCTTGACTAAGTTAAATGTCTGGTAGCTACTCGTCGTTTAGTATGGATCTCAGCCTGCGATGCATCGTGAATTTGATGCCATCAAGGTTCAAGCACCGCGGGGGTCGTTGACCACGGTGGCCCCCATCGAGATCCGCAATGTGGGCTCGGCCGCTGCCACGAACTTGACGGTAGAGCTTCCTCCAGACCCACTCCTCGTCCTCGTTGGTGCCGTCGATCCTTATATCCCTGTCACTGGGGTGCTCTTGGAAGTTTTTCGAGCTTGTCTGCGACAGTCTCGAATTTCGTGCTTGTAAGAGGAAGCAGAAATCAAACCAGGAATTGTGAGAGTTTCCGTCAGACAACCGGAGGTTGGGTCGTCGTCCCAACTGCAGTTGGGTTGGGCCCCTGGTCGGACACAAGAGCTGGAGACTTTCCAGGGGACATTGGTCGTGAGATCTTCGACCGACAACAGCGTGTGGGTCCGTATTGCCTATACGGTGGCTGTGGTCTCCACTGGTGTCACCAACGTCAGCGTCTATGCACCTCGGTCATCCTGCGATGCAGCTGTTCTGTCGACCGTGAGTTTCCATCTTCATGCGGAGTGTAGCTTCGGGTAGCTGGTGCTTTTCGTTTAGAGAAGAATTCGACGACTCCTCTACTCACCCGAGAACAGCGGAACCTTTCTGCGGAAGGTAAGTTTCGGTTTTGCATGGTCGCACGGAGAAGCTCCAAACAGTGTGGGGGCACGAGTCGCAACGACAGGCCACACGGCGCTGCGGAGGGAGCACGATTCGGCTGGAGAATGCGCGCGGGACTGTCGCACGGAGCCTCATAGCGCGTCACTGCTAGGATTTGAAGTCCCAAACGAGCACGGCACTGTTGCACCAGCGCCGTTCATGGGATTCTGGAAAGAACGCGCTTTTCGTTGAACATATGTGCATTCTATAGCACAGCTGTGCCAGCGCGAGACCTGTGGAAGCGCCGGTGCCTCGTGCACCAAGTGAACAAGTCCCCGTCCACTTAATGCCAGAACCCACTTAAAGGATCATGGGACTTAGTAAGTAGGGTTATAAGTAGGGTAACTATACTTATAACCCCAATTAAGGGACTTATAACCTTACTTACTAAGTCCCATGATCCTCCAAGCACGGTGTTACCACGCGGTTCGGGCAACATGCGTGGAACGCAATTCCTGATCTGGGAGCACGACCCCAGCAAATTGACATGGGTAGTTCTCCAAGCTAGCGTCCCATTTTCAGATCCCCAATTTTGTACGGCACCCTGATAAAAAGGACCATTAAAAGGACCCGCAGTTAGAAAATTACCCACATGCAGGTTCAAGATGAGTATTCGTTCCACGATGCCGAGAACGGGTTTCCGAACGTCACGGGGGCTCTTTGCGACCTGATTCAACCTCGCTTGCAGCAGACACTTCGAAGGACGACAAATCGAAGTTGGTGTAGACCATGATTGAATCGTCCGTGTGAAGCTTGTAGATAGTTTTCCCTGTAATGTTGACCGACATTGTGTAATCAACTGAATCGCAGGGGTTCTGAGGCCCCATAAAGCCATAGAAGGACCACCGATGCGAGCGGACTCGCCTACTTCGAGGATGTCCCAAACGATCGCTGGTCGTTGCGTTGCCAGGCTTCGGAACCTCGGTTATCAGGTGTGGAGAATTTTGTGTGCACATATCGACGAAAGAGGACCGTTGATTGAGGGAGTTCTACCTTAACCCACCAGAACCTACTTTTTTGTAGGGTCCCTATAAATCCCATATTAGGGTTTATAATACAAACCTACAAAAAATGGGTTTTGGTAGGTTAAGGTATAGCTATACTATAGCTTCCTACGGCCCCACTTTGTAGTGATTCACGGGGACATGCAGTTGAAGCCTAAACCCTAAACCCTAAACCCCTAAACCCTAAACCCCAAACCCTAAACCCAAAACCTTAAACCCCAAACCCAGAGCCCTAAACCCTAAACCGAGGAGCATAGCCCTTCCTCAGAAGTGCTTATTGTCTCGGGCGGCGAGCTGATTCACACGGTTCTGTTACCACGAGATGCTGTCACCTATGCTTCTTGGCCTGGGTATGAGGCACATGTTTCAAGCTTTGGGGTTTCGGCCAGGATGTCAGGGTCTAGGGTTTAGGGTTTAGGGTTTAGGGTTTAGTGTTGAGATTTGTGACATTGTGCGTTTTGAGTGACGATTAAGATTGTCGCATCGTGGCATGATGAGCTTCGAGAATCCACACTTCTGGCAATGGTGTTCGAGTCAACCCGAGGTGTGGACTGTCCGTCCTACTGACGTGGAGGATGTTTACGAGCTTCTGTGGTGTTCTTGTAGTCCACTTTTCTTGTAGTAGACAGTGCACCTAGGAGCATCTTTGTCTCCAAGAGGCCATTTGTAAGCTAAACCCTAAACCCTAAACCCTAAATCCTAAACCCTAAACCCCAAGGTTCACCACAACAACCACTTTCGAGACCAACGTCCCAATGCCGGTCATCACCGTGGAGCCGAACGTCTTCAACATTGACTTGATCCTGGTAGGCGGACTCCCACGGGTGGACCTCACGATCACGAAGCTTTTCATGGATCATTCAGGCGGTTTTTTCGGGGGGTCTTTCTTCCGGGATCGAAGAGGGGACGCTTATGAGCTGTATACAAGTCACCCTAAACCCTAAACCCTAAACCCTAAAGCCAAGGAACCACGGGCTTATTGCGACCGACTCCTTCAAGATCCGATGGCCCGAGATCGGAGGTGTTGAGTTCGCCTACCCCTCGGGTCCACCGCCCGACAGAATCAGACCCAACACCTCGATCATCGTGCCGGTGGACATCATCCTTGCCGCTGGGCCGTTCGCTTAAAGGGTCATGGGACTTAGTAAGTAGGGTTATAATTAGGGTAACTATACTTATAACCCCAATTAAGGGACTTATATCCTTACTTACTAAGTCCCATGATCCTCCAAACGTGGGCAGGTTTTCCTAGGATTTTCGCAGACTGTTGCAGCCCAAGGGCAACATAGTCTAGACGTGTCGACTGTTGGCTCAGGTGTTATCATACCTAAACCATCCTAAACCCTAAACCCTGGTTTACAGATTGTCAAGGCCTCCCGGAATGAAAGCGAGCAGGGGCTCGAGCTGCTGCAGAAGAGGAGTTCCCGCCTCAATTTCTGCGGTCCGTGTTTGACCCGGGTGGATCGGAGCTGCGATCTGGCTTTGCTGTTGTGCATGTCGATAGGGAGCAGGAGATAGCATGTCCCTAAACGACGCCAGAAGTGTTTTCCAATCCACCTATGAGATCTCGGCTTTCTTAGGTGGCTGCAGCTTGGGCGACTATGTGGCTGGCGTGCTCTGTGGAGAGGTGGAGGTGTCGAAAAGCGGTGGATTGACCTTTAGCACTAGCGGACCCTGTGGCTTTAGCCTTACTATCGGCCCGGGTGGTGGCTTTGGAGGTGGAGGCGGTGGAGGCGGCGGTGGAGGCGGTGGCGGCGCTGGCGGGGGGGGCAGCATCGCAACGGTCCCGTTCGTCTTCGCGGGAGGAGACTGCGACCCGTGCACGAAGGAGATCGTGGATTGTGTAGTGGCCGGTGTCAAGATCATCCCGATCCGGAAGAAAGTCCAGGTGATCACGTCTTGCCCAAAGAACATCCGAGATGCCATCAAGAAAAAGGGCATTGCTGGTATCGGGTCAGCCCTGCAGAAATGCGTTAAGACCATATGGGAAACAGTTAACCAAGTCGTAGACGTCGTCAAGTGCATCAAAAGAGTCGTGGATTGCAAAGCAAAGTCTCTCTTGCAACTGGGTGCGGTGGATCCCAGATCTCTTGCCCAGAGTGCAGACCTTGCGGAACCTCGGCTGTGATTCGGGATACTTTGGTGGGATGCTGCTTCGAATGCATCATGCCTTAAAGACTTTCCGAAGGGTTTGGCAACCACTTCCGAGGAGTTTACTTCAATCGTGACTCGTGCCACCCATCGCTTGCGTGGCCACCTCGCGCAGAAAGATCTCTCTGCTGCCGAACGCCGCCAATTGGCTTCCTTTGGAGGGTTCGGGAACCGTTTTGACTGAATTCCTTAAAGTAGTTTTCATTATTACTATCGCTGTTGTGATTACGATTATGTACTCTTACCGGACTATGACGATGACTATGACTATGACCATTACCATTACTATTACTATAGCATTATTGTTATTGTTAAATGAATTGTTGATTACTGTGATAGACCAAGGTCTGGTTTTGGGGTCGGTGACGGCCGCCCAGGAGGCGGTGGAGTTCTGGGCGGAGGGCCTGGCAGCTTTTGGAGCCGTGGTCCTCGAGCTCGGCCCCGGTGATTTTCTCGCCCCCAGGCCGCAGGAAGCCAACTCTCTCCTTCGGCTCTACTTGGAGGTTCATGGGTAGTTATAAGTAGGGTTATAAGTCGGGTATAACTATATTTATAGATTTATAAACCATATTAGGGGACTTATAACCCCACTTATAACTACCCATGAACCTCCAAGTAGGGCTGTATAGGGCTTAGGGTTCAGGCTCTGTGGCCTTTAGGGTTTAGGGTGGAGGTTGGGAGAGGATGCTTGGGTTTTTTAGCATGGCAGAACTGCTTAAGCGGGCCGGAGGGGTTCACCTTGGCGAGTTGACCTTCCAAGGTCTGAACTCTTTGTTGAGCGCCGGGTGCATTTTTACTATTCTGGTTCTTACTGTTAGGGTTTAGGGTTTGGGGTTTCGGGTTTAGGGTTTAGGGTTACCATCATGCAGGTATAAGAATTGCGTAGTTAGGACTATACGGGCTCTCATCCCTTAACGCCCAGGCCTCCGAGGGCTTCGATGAGGAGTGGTTCCTGCGGGTCCTGCAATATCAGAGCGACGGCTCCGAGGACGGAGCCTTACTGAGCTCTGCAGAGGCCGTCCGCATACTTAGTACAACTTTTCCCTCACTTTGGGGCTTTTTATAGGATTACTGCCTCAAAGAAATATACCATAGTAGTATGCTCCTGTATCCAATTAATACCAGAATGATCTACACTACACCCAACACCCTAGCCTAATCATCAAGGCTGCAGACCTTCTCGCCAGCGCTTCGTCGGGGAACCTCACCGGCAACCGCAGTGCGCTGGAGTTTCTGGTGCCTGGGACCTTCTCGCGAATGAGCTGGGTATTTAGGGCAGCTACGGTTTAGGGTTTAGGGTCTAAGGCCAAGCCCTAAAACCCAAGCCTCTGAAACTGATCATTTCCGCTACGGCCCTGCAGCAGTACAGGTGCAGCGGGTGAACAATACCGCCTACGCCAACAGCTTGGGCTTCTTGTCTCGCGCGGAAGCTGTGGCTCAAGGTCTGTCGGAGAACATGATGGACTACTTCTTCGCCTTCGACAACTTATCTCTGTGTCTTTACGCAAAGTGGACTTCTCAAGACCTCTCAACTGTGAACCCTACAGCAGAACCGAGGAGCTGTCTAAACCCTAGACCCTTAAATGTAAAACTAAACCCCCAACCAGCACCCCCCAAGTACCCTTTAATAGAGCCCTTATGGTCCTTAATAGTGGGTATTTAGGGTATAATAAAGGGTAGTTGGGGGGTGCTGGAAAGCCTAAACCCTGAACCTAGGTTTGACGAGCGGCAAAACATTGCGGCGCTTCAGGGATTCTCATCGATTGTCGATGCTGCAGACGTGTCGTTCAGGGAGCTGCGAGCAGAAACGCAGAAACTCGGGCATTCTCTTATCAAAAGCGTAGACATAGCATCCCATGGAAACAGTGGTTAGATGTTGGGTATGAGATATAAATAGAATGGAAGCAGTGGTTACATGTTGGGTATGAGATATACACATAGAAAGTATCAGATGTAGGACATTAGATTTCAGTTCTCGGCTCTTGGATATGGCTTTAGATCTCGCATTTCCCGGGCTCCTAGCACAGCAAACCCTAAACCCTAAATCCTAAATCCTAAACCCTAAACCCTAAACCCAAAGGAAGCAGTCGGAGGGCATTTGTGCGAAAGTCACCATTCGCATTGTCCAAGAGCTGGTGCTGACGCGACAAGCCTTCGAAGGAGTGCTGGAAGTGGGCAACAATGCTGCTCCGTTACCAATACTATTCCTTAGGGTTTAGGGTTTACGCGGGGTTTAGGGTTTAGGGTTGCAGATTATATGTATACTATGAAGGCGCCCAAAACCCTATCTTTTGAAGAACGTTGCTGACCTTTGTAGTAAGCATCGATCCGTAGGAAGAGAGAGGGGTCTGGAGCTACCCTACCCTAAGACTTACGACTTACCCTAAACCCCCTAAACCCTAAACCCTAAACCCTAAACCCTAAACCCTTTAAGAGCTGCATCACCATCCAGGCTGGTTCCCCAATGGAGGAGATTGTCCTCAGCGTGTTCATCGAAGCAGGGACTGATCTAAGAATCTGTTTTGGTACGATAAGCACGAGTAGAATCCACAACTGTTTGCCCAAACCCTGAACCTAAGTCCTCAACCCTAAACCATACACAAAGAAGCTTCCGAATCTAACTTAGGAGGATGATCAGTTCAATGGGGTGGAGGAGAAGTTCGCGATTGGCGAACCAAGCGCCGGGGGAGACATGGTTCTGCAGAGCCCAGCCACCGCTACCAACGGGAGCCTGAGCCATTCTTGGTAGAAGCTTTGGGGATGAGTCTTGCATCTTTCAATGTATGAAATCCCTGCGAGTAGTGGCTATCTGAAACATTTGTGGGAAGCCGAGCAGAAGATCAGACCAACGGGAAGAAAAGGTGGTGTAAGTATAGAGAGGCGTAGTATCTGAGCAGTGATACAGGAGCGGCGTGCAAACCATGGCTATGCTTGCTGCTCGTAGTCGTCTGGCACGGATTCAACAGATTTTGGGCTTAAGCCCGGCTCTAAGTCCTAAGCATTTCTTACTAAAGTTTGAGACAACTTATTGGAGGAATCTCTTTCCTTGCCAGGCAGAGAGGTTCCGTAGATGCGCCACCAGCAACGACCCAGGTCAAGGCTCCCTGAGCATTCTCATCATCCCGCGTCGTGAGGCTGCGCCTACCAGAGATCCGCAGAATTACAGAGTTACCGGGCTGATGCGAGAAAGAGTTGCAGGCTAGCCGTGAGCAGCATAGAGGGCTAGAGCCTATCCTAGAAAGTTTGAGGGTTTAGGGTTCTAGGGTTTAGGAAGTTTAGGTTTTAGGATATAGGATTTCTGAGTTTCCACCCATGGCCAAGGTTGGCGGCACCTTGTTTTACACACAGGACGGTGTTCGCTTCTCCACGCCCCTCTGGCCGGACACTATCCAGGTAACTTGCTCCTTGTTCATTGTCTTGTGGTCTTATCCATGCCAGGTCATACCAAAATTGAAGCATATACTGCAGAGTCTCGTGGAATCGATACAGCAACAGCGATAATCCAGGTACTTCCTGATCCAGTGCTCTATGTGCGGTACTTTCGCCAGCGGTTCGTAGAGGCCGACGACCCGTTCACCCCTGAAGTTGAGCCCTCGGTTGCCGGACGAGATTCCAAGAGTTTGTTTGTTTCAACCCGAGGTATGTAAATACATATATATATATATATATAGATAGAGAGAGAGAGAGAGATCTTGAAACCTCATTCTAAGATAACCATACATTTGATGAGCCTTATTCTTCCCTAAGCCCTAAACCCTGAACCCTAAGCCCCTAAAACCCCTAAACCTCGAAACCCGAAGCTCTAAACCCCTAAACCCCGATAATGGCCCCTAAACCCTAAACCCTATAAACCCTAAACCCTAAACCCTAACCCCCTAAACCCCTAAACCCTAAACCCTTTAGCCTCAGCCACCATGAGCCCAGGTTCCCTTTTTGCTGGCCACCTGCATCGCCAACACGGGCTTCGGCACGGCAAGGTCGATGCGCCTTTCCTCCGCCCAGCCGGAGATCGTGGACAACGCGAGGGACCACGATATAAGGTAACCCCAACTAGGTGCTGCAATGGAGACTAAAGGAATTTAGGGTTTAGGGTTTAGGGGTTTAGGAATCGAAAGATTCGGGGTGTGGGCTTCAGGCTTTGGGTCGGGAAGACTACAAGACTCAGTATTGAGGCCACAAACCCTAAACCCTGAATCTTGAATCCGAAACAGCGCAAACTCGGAGGATCTGCTGATAACCTTCGAGATTGTGGAAACTCGGGTCAACGGCGTGCTATCCGAGCGCACGCTGACGGCAGAGATCGGGGATCTTCTCCCGGAGACTTGAGCTGCTCACGGTAACTTTTCGATTGGCTTAGGATCCAAAAAGCCAAGTTCTGAAATACAATTCCAACTTACTACCCCCTAAATTTAAAAGCCTTTGGGGCTCTGGTTTGAAAAGGCCCTCAAGACGAAGAAAAGCACCCTGAACCCGAAGCTGAAACTCTCGGCGTAAGAACAACACCACGGTCATCGAGTGGCTCCTCACTGCGAGCCTGAAGGGGGAGTTCACTTCACTCACAACCACCTTCGAGAACCGCAACTGGGTGACGACTTGGTGAGCTGTTGGTTTCTTGACCTTAGGCTTGGTTTAGGGTTTAGGGATGAAGGGGTTCTACATGTGGGTAGTTGTCAAAATTATGGTCCCTTTTGGGTACCCTAAATGATAGGTGCCGTATTATAATAAGGACCCAAGAAGGGACCATAATTTTGACAACCACCCATGTGTACACGCCTGAGCTCCCAGAGCAAAGGTGCGGCCTTGAAGTACTTAAAGGAGCATGGGATAATTAGGGTAACTATACTTATAACCCCAATTAAGGGACTTATAACCTTACTTACTAAGTCCCATGATCCTCCAAGTATCCCAGCAACGATGCAGGTAACCCTCTGGGCGACCCTGAGCTATCGCTGGTGGAAGCAGCACCTGGACCATGCGTTCGGGAGAATGTCGAGTTTTTCCGAAACTTTAAAGCACGAGAACTTGAAGAGCAACTTAGAACAGTGTGGAGACGTTGAGTCGTATTCAACTCGTCTTTCGACGTTGATTGGATCCCATATGCTTAAGCCCTGAAGCCCGAAACCCGAAACCCAACATAAGGTTTCTGGCCACGACTTGATCCGCACCGTGCGTCTTCGCGGTCCGAGTGGCAAAACGATCGAGGGCTTCTTTGTCAACGAGGCTTGGGGGCTTGGGGTTCTAAAGTTCCAGAGTTCTAGGGTTTCAGGGTTGGCTATTTTCTGACGGCATGGCGAAGGCTTTTTTCAGCGGACGTGGTTGGGATGGTATAATGTGATGATATTGATGTGATGTTGCTGTTGATGTCAGGTTGTCGAAGTCGGTTTGGGTGGCCATTGGCTCTCTAACGCGCTGATGTTGTCCGAATCTAAGTTCATATCTCTTGATGCACCGGGCGGGGTCAGCGGGAGCTGCTGCTCATCTTTTTGAGCCGGCATGATCCATTGCAAATTCCACTGCACGGCACTCCCTCGTCCTGCACTTTTGAAACCCTCTCGGTATTAACGTTGTGCTTTTCTGAATCCGCTGGACACTTGTGGGAAGCTATATTTCCTGCTTCCCATTGTATATTCACGACATGTGCTGCACGCTGGCTGCGACCCATTGCAAAGTCTACCACGGGCCCGCGTGCCGGTCTCGAAAATGACAACCCTTACGGTGGATGTGCTGCATCTGCATTCTCCTGCAGGCACTATCCATAGCTTGCATGCTGGTCAAACGTCAAATGTTTAGACGTCAACCTGCCCGTCCCGTAAAGGTCCGTGGTTAAGACGCCGCCAAGGAAAAGGAGCCAGGTCCAAAGACCCGGCCCACCCACCAAACGAAGAAAATTCAAGAGCCAGCCGAGGGTGATGCCGAAGAAGAGCCCCAAGTCCAGAGTGCCAGAAAGCAGCGCGCACGACATAGAGTAGAAAGCCAGTTCACATGCTGCCTGTGATCCTCCCACAAGTACGCCAGCTCATGATGGAGACCCAACATGGAATCTCCGGGAGGCCGAGCGCGATTATCCCCCCCTTCGCCTTCCATATCGCCGCCATGTACACTCAAACAGCAACCCTAGCCACTGAGGTAGTCAAGCCGTCTGCAGGCCGTAAGAGCCATCCACCATTAAGCAAGGCACAGAACGCAGAGTGCATGATGACTGTGGCAAAGTCCCTCCTGCCAAGAGCCGCCTGGAAGCCAACAACATCAAAGGTCCCACCTCAACGAAAAAGCACGCCCAAGGACAGCGGCGAGACAGCAAAGTGAAGAGGCTTCCCACCCAAGAAGATGAAATGACCCACCAAGGTCCAGCCGGGTCGAGGCGAGCCGTGAGAAACCCTGTGAGGAACAGCCACCAGACCCCCCAGGGAGGGGGGCACTTACTTAAAGGATCATGGGACTTAGTAAGCAGGGTTATAATTAGGGTAACTATACCTATATCCCCAACTAAGGGACTTATAACCTTACTTACTAAGTCTGATCCTCCACCCTAAACCCTAAACCCTAAACCCTAAACCCTAAACCTTACTTACTAAGTCCCATGATCCTCCACCCTAAACCCTAAACCCTAAACCTTACTTGCTAAGTCCCAGGATCCTCCAGGTATGTCAGGTTAAGTCCCGTGCCGCCGGGCCGAGGGTCGCCTGCTGGTCCTGACTCCCGCCAGTACTTGGGGAAAAGCATGTTGGTAATAAATTTAAAAAAAAAACACACATCAGATCATTTACCATTATATTACTCATTAAATTGGAATTATAAAATTAATATGGTCGTGCTTCAGAATCCGCCGGTATATGGGTGAAGCACTCAAAGGCTGTGAGTCTTGGGGAAAGCAGGTTGGCTGTGTCTGGGGCCTTCATTGTTTTTTGAGTGCTAATGTGGTGCGTGCAATGGCTCGGAATCCGCGTGGATGGATGGATGGATGGATGGATGGATGGATGGATGGATGGATGGACGGATGGATGGATGACCCTACTTAATACTTGTTATTTGCTGCGATAAACGCTTTCCGGACGCTTGGTCTCAAGTTTGGATTTAGGGACAGGGTTTGGGCATGAGGTTTTTATTTTTCTTATTTTTTAGTTTGTGGCTTCTTTTTTAGTTTTGTGGCTTGTAGACTTCCAGGAGTGCTAGCTTGGGAAGTCTTCTCAACCTAGGACACCTATTGGGGTTTGAGTGTTTCAGTCCCAAGCTCCAATCAGTTGCTTCCCAAACCGGCTTTCATCTCGAAGAGAGAGTGCTTGCCATGCAGTCCTGCAGACCGTTGCAGACCCTGTATCCTGAGCCGGCAAACCCCTACACCCTAAACCCTCCACGCCCCCAAACTTCTGGAGAAAGGTGCCGGACAGCAGGTCCTTGCCGGACACGATATTCAGCAGCGAGGCACATCGGGGAAACCCGAATCTTTGCTTTGGGCCATCTCCGGTGCAGATCTTGCTTGTCAAAACAGGGTTTATAAGGTTGAGGGTTTAGGATTTAAGGGCCTGTGCACCTGTATCTTCAGAGATGGCCCAGGAATTGCTTATGTTTTCTCCGCAAAAGCTTCCTTCGAGTACGGAGAAGACATAGGTGCAGCTGCAGCTGGGGGCGGCTAGGGCCCTAACCCCTGAACCCTAAACCCTAAACCCCATAGGGCCCGAGAGTTGGCTCAACCCTGAGCGTCAAACCCTAATTACCCCACCCGCTTATATGGCCAGGATTGTGGCCCAGACGATGGGGCTCTGGTGAGATACATCCTCGACAAGGCATCTTTGGCCCAAGAGTTACGGGCGTCTTTGGTGCTAGGGTTTACGATTCAGGGTTTAGGGTTTATGAGGCTTTGGGCTTACAGATTCGGCCTTGCGAGTTTTCTCAGGCCCCATGTGTCTAGATTCTCTGTGGCTTGCTGGAAAATCGTACTTGCGAGTTACCCTTGTGGACTGATGCCAAGGACGTCTCTGTGACTCTCCTCTCCGGTCTGGTTGTGAACTTGGGATTTTCATGGGACAAGCTTTACCTGTCGTCATGAATAAATACACTCGTGCTTGTTAACGTCTTACCACATTCCGAGACCAGCAGAGGAATGTCACCATCCAGACAAGCGTTGGGCAAGCGGCCATTCTCGAACAGGTCCAAGACGGAAGGATCGTTGGAGAACATTCGCGCAACGAATCGGATGTGGGGTACGTATACCTGCGCTTCGTTCGCCCGGCCGGACTTGTGTATGGGAGCTCTTTCCTGGTGGCATGCTGCGATAATGAGGCCGTGGAGTTGCAGAATGCTTGGGAGACGTCTGATGACGAGAATGTTTCCATCAACATCTTTGATGAGGAGGGTCGTTGCGGGGAGTACTTTCTCTACTTCGGTCAGCCGGAAGATGTCGACCCGCAGGTGTGCACGTTAAGGCAGAGCGGCACCAGCACAACAAATTCCGTCACAGCTGCTGGTGCTTCGTCCACTGAACCTTCAATTGAAACAAGCGTCACAAGCACGGGTGTCCCAACCAGCACTGAGAGCACCACCAGCGCTGAAAGCACCAGCACAACCTCCTTGCCAAGTGCTGGTGCCTCGTCCACCACCGCAAGTGGCACGAGCACCACCAGCATTGAAAGCAGCACACCTGCCAGCTCCAGCACAAGTGCTGTTGCCCCGTCCACCACCGCAAGTAGCACGAGCACCACCAGCGCTGAAAGCACCAGCACAACCTCCTTGCCAAGTGCTGTTGCCCCGTCCACCACCGCAAGTAGCACGAGCACCACCAGCGCTGAAAGCACCAGCACAACCTCCTTGCCAAGTGCTGGTGCCTCGTCCACCACCGCAAGTGGCACGAGCACCACCAGCGCTGAAAGCACCAGCACAACCTCCTTGCCAGGTGCTGGTGCCTCGTCCACCACCGCAAGTGGGACGAGCACCACCAGCACTGAAAGCAACGCGCCCGACGGCCCCGGCACATTGACACCTACGAGCTCTAGCATACCGTCGTCGTCGACCACATCCCTGACGACTGCCGCTGGCTCGCCCACCGAAACTTCGACAACCGGCGGGAGCATCGGAGTATCGACCAGTGCCGCTTCTCCACGTCGGTACTACGAGTACTACAGGCGCTCGCCGCGCTCATGGAAGTGCGTCTGGGGAGAGAAGTGGCGCTGCAGGGGTCTCTTCTGCTGCAACCAGAAATGGCGCTGCCTGCCGCGCATGCTTTGCAGGCGGAGAAGCCTTTGCTAATTCATGCTATTTAGCCTTCATGTCTTTGCTGTCTGACATGTAAGATGTGTTTATGCCACGGAGGCAACCGTCGAGCAGCTCCTCCCGAGAAGCGCAGCTCTCAGGTACGCGCGCTTCGGAAGTACGGCTTCTCACGGTTGGGGGAGATGGCTCCCGCACGTACAATTGCAAGGATTTCTGCAAGGACGTTTGTGAAGTCCAGCATCCGTCTCCAGCAAGATGCCCGCACCTATGCAACACAAGACTCGATGCTGTCTTGCAGATCGCGCAGGCGTTTTGCGTTCAGGGCCTGTGCTCAAGCACCATCTCAACAAATCAGACCCACGAGGAGGCCGGCTTATTGCAGAAGCGAGTGCGTCGAACGGACGAGGTCTTCAGCGAGGAGGCCGAGGTCGGTTGCCAGCCGCCGGCAAAATATTGCAGGCTCTTCTGCAAGCATGGCATCCTTCTCGAGGACACGATCCAGCAGTGCGTGGCAGGCTGCCATGCGAAGTTCTCCGGAGTCCTGACACAAATGCAGGCCTTTGTGAGCGGAGGCTGCTGTGAATCTCGGGATGCTTGAGCTACAGAAGAGAGGCGTTGCAAAGCGTCAATAGTGAACCCCAAAAAGTTGGAACACGGATTTAGGATGATTAGTGCTGGGAATCCCCTTACTTTACCTTAAGGGCTTGAGTAGAATGAGGTTCCAACTTTCTGGCTTCCACCTTTTGGTTATAAAACGGCTGCATGCACCCGTACGTACAGCTACTTCTTTCTGCTGCTTCCACAAGTGTTGTAGCTGTGGTTCCAAGCATTACCTTGCTCGAATCGGGAATGTCTGGTGTGGAGGGTTACCATCGAATGGGAGCTTGTGGAGTAGGCAGTACAGTAGGCAGTGCAAGTTAAGGCGATCGTGTTTACAGGCTTCCGTTCGCTTGCTGTGAATGCCCAGACCGAGAACATTTAAGGAGGTCTTTTCCAGCAGCACTCAAATATTTTGTTACAAGAAATGTATTACACTGCCGGGTTTTTTGCCCAAACGTGGTTTTTCCCTGCAGCCTGCACAGAGCAATGCGAAGAAGATAGTGCACTGCGTGTAGTTCTACAGGCAGTGCGGCTTGTAGAAGAAGCTCTGATGCAGAGAAATTGATAGCGGATAGCGGCTGCTAGCGCAAAAAGATGGATCTGGCATTCTCCTATGCTGCCTTCAAAGGCGTATCTCGTCTGGGATGGCCGCTTGAGGCTTTGCAATGTGGGATCCACATGTCTTCGATGCACCCTTACACTGAAGCGCTAACCTTAAAACGTCGTGGTGGGAAAAAGCCTTAATTCAGCCCTAGACCCTAAACCCAATGGCGTTTTTGCCTGATGTGAGACTCGATTTGCTGAGCCCATCTCGTGTCCAGCTCGATACTTTTCACTCTCAGGTATGCACGCAGTGTACGAGTATCCTGTCAGAAGCACTCCCAACAGGTTTAGAGCTTAAGGTTTAGTGGAAAAGAGAATCCGTAACTTGAGACTCCCCAAACAAGGATCATGTTTATACTAGATTATAGTACAGCATGCTATAGTAGATCATAGCATATACACCCTATAGAAGACTATAACATGATTCCGACACGCAGCCATGCCGTCTTTGACATGGCTATTCATGGAAGCCCTGCGGAAGATCGCAGAGTCCAGAGGCAGGCTCAGCAAGGGGAAGCTCGTGTCCTAACCCCGAGGCCCCATGGCATTTAAATCCCAGAATGTGACGTTCCCCCACTCTGACTTCAGCAATATACTAAAGTAACTACTAAAGTATTTTATATTATGGTATTATATGTATAGCAGGAGAGCCGAAGCTCGATTCTGTGGGGTCTGGGGCGCCCTTTCGGCGTGGTTCGGGGTTCGGGGACCCCAATAATCCCCAGCATGCTTACTCCGAAGTCGATTTCAATGACTCAAACAAAGCCATTTTCACCAACATCCTCAACCTCGATCCCATGATCATCCAGATTCCGGAGGTGACTCGAAGCTCGCTGAAAAGGACAGCGGTCAGAGACAAGAGCCCTAAGCTCAGTTCTTTTCGCCCCCTGAGCCCTAGGCCAGCCATGCGAAATCCTGTTGAGCTGAATGAATCACGCGATGTCTTGCTCGGTGGTAGCTCTTGCAGATCGTGCTGCCTGAGCACCAGGGGACAGGGATCTTGCCCTTGCGGGCTGCATGTACACGCGAAGAAAAGGTTGGTGGAGCAAGAACCTGCAGCTCTTTAGGCCGCTCCTGGGGTAAGGCAGCACGTGTCAGAAGCAGCTGACTTGCTGGTCCGAGGACGTGAGGCGGCTGTGCAGGTTCGAGTGAAAGTTTCAACGCCTGCAGCAAATATCAGCTTGTCATCCAGCGACATTACTTGAAAACGACTTGAAGGTGGTAGCGTCGTAACATTGAACCTGCCGGCACGTCTTCCGACCGTGCAAGGCTTGCGAGAGGCTTGTAGCCTTCTTGCAGCCTGGTATTGTCCAAGACTTTTTGGAAGCACGCTTCCAATGGTTGAAGCTTCCTTGGAATGCAACTAGTGACTTGTAACTAGGTGCTTGAGAACATGTTTGAGGCTCGCTGAGTTGTAAGGTTGCATCCAGGAAGTTGGTTCATGATGTTACTGAGCCTGTGTGACAGGCATCAAGTTCCCTGATGCATCTGCAGCTCACAGCACTGGGTCTACTTGGAGGTTCATGGGTAGTTATAAGTATTTCTATAAACCATATTAGGGGACTTATAGCCCCACTTATAACTACCCATGAACCTCCAAGTACAGTGCAGTCCTTGACCCAGTAGCTTCGGCAGTTTCCGCGGTGAATCAACCAGCTCCCGGCTGCAGTTGCCGACGCCAAGCGAGGAACATGGGAGTTTCCAAAAATTAGGGTGCCTTATTTTGGGGGGTCCTTATAATAAGGATCCTACTATTTAGGGTACTATATTAGAGTCCCCTATTTTCGGAAACCCCCACATGTCGCAGCAAGGTGCGGCAAAGGCGGAAAGTGTTTGCCGTCCGAAGCCTCACATCTGACCCTCCCAGGCACAAGTTGAAATCTGGCGTGGCACGGAAAAACGTAGCTTCACTTAGTACCTATAGTCTCCAATGTAGTTCCTTTTTTTGGTTTAACCAAATTTATATTAAGGATCCTAAAAGGGTAACCCCCAAAAGGAACTACAATGGAGACTATAGGTAATTAGCTTAATTCATCACTCGATGTTCGGCTTGGAGCGAGATATATCGGAGATTGCTGGCCAGCCCAAGGGCTTGTTGCAGGAGGAAATCCGAGTCTTGCAAGCTGTCTTGTGTCGGCGCCATGTTTGCAACAGGATCCCTTTGATGTCCGTATAAACTGTCTAGCAACGTCGCATGTCCTGAAGTTCCGACGCTGTGTTTCTACTTCGCCTGTCTGGGTTCAGCCGCGCCGAGCAGTATGAAATTCATCGGGGCACTCAACTCACTCCTCGCGGAGCCCTCAGAGATGTGCTTGGACCAGGTGCTGCTTGGATTGCAATTTGTCAGAGGAGTGTCTCCCGTGGCGGACACTGCGCTGCGTAGAACACGATGTTGTATCACCGGCAGTATGCGAGGGTGATGTTTCGCTTCCGGAGTGCGAGTTGCAAGCTGCATGACATGACTCTAGCCTGAGCCCTGTGGGAGGCGGTTCACCGCCAGAACATCAGGCGATGTCGCCAATGCCTGGCACTGAACACCAACAAGCTCAACACCCGTTCTTGCATTCTGCAAAGTTCGGAGCGCAGTCACATGATGCCACCCGTGGCTCAAGGTGGTAGCATTTCCATTTCCACAGCCGGACTGCTGACATCCACAACCGCGAGGCATGTCTCAGCCCCTTGATTTGAGGCGCCCCTATGCGGAATGGTCTCCGGACGAGGGCCAAGCTGTCGTTGACGAGTACGACTTGCTGACGGATGCCCAGAGGGAGATCGGCTTTGCCCATGGCACAAGGCAGTTCAGTCGACGGGTCCGGGAGATCAGTGAGCTGCTGCACTCGAAGTTGCGCGCCAAGTATCCCGAAGGGAGCCCTGTTGGCCACTGGCAGCGCTCCGTCTCGAGCATCAAGTTCTTCGTGAGCGCGATGCTGGAGAAGAGTACCAGCAGCCAGATCAAGCGACTGAAGCTGGCGAGGGAGTCGGTGAAGAGGAGTCTCGTGGAAGAGCACCATCAGCTCGCTGCGGTCAGGGCGGAGCTCAAGGCAAAGGCGGACGCCTTGGCCCAGAGCGACAGCAGATACAGAGACCTCGAGAGCCTCATCGTCAAGAAGGTCTCCGAGCTTTCCCTCCGAGAGATGGAGCTGCAGGAGAAGGTGAAGGAGCTGGCGCAGAAGGAGGCGGAGCTCGCTGCAACGATCCTGCAGCTCTCGAAGATGAAGGAGGAGCTGGGGCGGCTGCAGCAGCAGCTCAGGGAGAAGGAGGGGATGAACCAGCGCCTGGATCAGCAGAACCGGGCGCTGCAGGCAGACTTGGAAAGGAAGGACAAGGCAGAGAAAGCCCTGAGCCTTGCCATGCAGCTTAATGCAAGAGACTGGGTTCTTGTTCAGGAACTTTGTATTTATCTTATGAAGTTACCATATAGTATGGAAACCCTTTTATTTGGTACAGATCCCTATTATGGTATCTTAATTTGACTGCCTCAACAAGAACCCAGGAGAGTACCAGAAGCTCGAAGAGAGCCAGGTCCAGAAGGGGAACGACATCAACACCTTGCAGGAAAGGGTCAGCTCCCTCCAGAAGGACAATGACATCTTGGAGGAAAGGCTTGAGGCTGTTCAGCAGGAGAAGCGGCTGGCAGATTCCCTCCGTGATGAAGCTTTGACCGAGCTTCAGGACATGCATCGCNNCGCCCGGCTGCGAAGATCGCTTGTTTGGGGCTGCCTGCAGGTCCAGCCTCAGCTGACCCCAAGATCCCCAAGAACTCTGCTCCCTCCTCCTCTCGATCTTTCGCGTCCTGTCCCAGGTGAAAATTGAGAAGCTGCAGGCCAAGGCGCTGATGCCGGCTCCACGGCTGGCCCTCCCAGCGCCGACCCCAACTCCGCAGCTGGCGCTGCCAGTGCCACCCTCCGAGTCTTCCGGGTCCTCCCGGGAGCGGAGCCGCAGCCCTCGGGATGCCAGGGACCCAGGGGCCCAAGGCTCCTCCTGGCGGTCCTTCGTGAGGGATCGGAGACAGGGATGAGGCAAAGACTCAGATGTGGGCTTGAAAATGCAGTGTACAGATGCTGAGCAGCCACGAGGACTTCCGTGCACAAGGACCATGGTCTTTTCGGATGTCGGGCCCGTGGGCCCACTCACAAGCGGCATGCTTTTCCGCACGCTGCCAAGACTTCTTGCAAGAGCCGTGTGCGAGAGATAGTGAAAAAGGCTCGCGTTGGGCATTGGGCGCAGAGAACGGCCACAGCTTGGTGCAAGTCACTTGCTCCTTGAGACAAAGACTCGTCCAAGCCAAGCCAAGGTTCCAAGCCTTGCGGCGGGCGGGCGGGCCAAGGCAAAGCCCCTCTATGCAGGGGGTGTCCTGGAAGTGAAGAGGATCTTCGTGTTATGTCGCGAAGAGTTGAGGTCGCCCTTTGCAAATGCTAAACAGTCCCGATCCAACTTGCATGCTACAAACCTATTCTGTCACAAAATCGTAGATCCACTGCAAGGGCTGTAGCTCAACACTCTGCCCACATGTTTTGATCACGAGATCATAGATGTGGACGAGTTCGAGATAGCCGGTGCTATCCTCCGTGGAGACACAGAGGCGTTCAGCCAGGAGGTGCAGTCCCGGCATCTTTTCGATCTGTGCATGGACTTCGGACACCAGTGCACCGCGGCCGCCCTGCTGAAGCACGGGGTGCCCGGCTGCCGCTTGGAGGCCTGGCACCTTGGACCTTATGCTGCATGGGCGATACAGGAAGAAGACGATGATGATGAAAAGGTTCCGTGCACGTGCATCAGCAGCATCCGCAGCACAGAGACCTGTGACTTTTGCTGCTGGGGTTCTGACTGTCTGACCGGTGAGTGGATACATGACTGCAATGCCGAGCTGGGCGAGGCGATGACTTGTGCGCACGTGGCCGCTGAGCGTCCTGTGACCCACTTGGTGCTCACCGCACTGCGCTCTGGCCAGGAGTTCGATAATCTTCACATCTCCGAATCTGCCATGGCGCGGCTGCTTGACATCGCCATACTCATCGGGGACTCGGACTTGGCGCAGCGCTGTGCCCCGCGGTGTCCGGAGCGGCCTCTGCGACGATGGCGGTCCCAGAGTTTCTTTGCACCGAAAATATTATGGCACGCGATTGGTCCACTCACTATTTCTTCACGAGATGTTTTCATCACGGCCATCCTCGCAGGCACAGAGCTGCAAGGGCTATCGGTTGGAACTTTGGACTGGTGGGGAATCGTCGACGCGAAGGCTATCATACCTCTGCGCGAAGCGGTCGCGCTGTGTGGTGACCTGCAGCTTTGGCGCCTCTTGGCCCCACTCTTGCCAGAAGCTGACGTCCCGTGAAGCCCACCCTAAAC